CTGTATGTAAAAAGCAGGCAGCAGATTTGGGTGCAAATTGCTTAGGTCAAGATAGCCCCTTTAACTGTCTTACTTCTGTTCTTTGTATGAGAAAAAAAGGGGGAAAGTTTCAGGTTTGGTCTGTGTAAGATACTCTTTTGCTAAATGCTTTTGCTGACTAGAAACCTGGTGGTTACTGACAGCATGAAACATGAGGCTGCATGAACTGTACTTGGTCACGTAATCAGTTGTTAAGAACTGGATTGTACGATTTAGTGTGGGTACCCAGTAGTTAAGATTGCAAGGGCTCTAGGATCTTGAAAACAAGTGTTTCATACAGAATCATCTACGTTGGGAAGGACCTTGAAGATCATCTAGTTCAACCATTAACCTGACAGTTCCCAGCTACACCAGATCCCTCAGCGCTGTGTCGACTCTACTTTTAAACACCTCCATGGATGGGGACTCCACCACCTCCCTGGGCAGCCCATTCCAATGCCCAACAACCCCTTCTGGAAAGAAATGCTTCCTAATAACCAGTCTAAACCTTCCCTGGCACAACTTGAAGCCATTACCTCTTGTCCCATCACTTACTACTTGGTTAAAGAGACTCATCCCCAGCTCTCTGCACCCTCCTTTCAGGTAGCTGTAGAGGGCGATGAAGTCTCCCCTCAGCCTCCTCTTCTCCAGACTAAACACCCCCAGTTCCCTCAGCCGCTCCCCGTACGACCTGTGCTCCAGACCCTGCACCAGCTTCGTTGCCCTTCTCTGGACATGCTTGAGTAATTCATATGTTTGTGACTTGGAGATTTCCATAGCCTTAATTCCTCGGGGAAATCCTCGCCTGTTGGATGCTAGTGCATTAAGATGGAGTGGTCCTTCTGGGCCATTGTGAAATGTTTGTGTTTTGTAGGTGAGGAGATGCAGGGAGCTCAATGCAGAAATCAGGGTTTTTTCAGCACAGTCCATGGCATCTCAGCAGTCTGCTTTCTAAGCTGGAAAGGTCTCTTGACTCAGTCCTGTGTTTGGCCTGTTAGATGCATCCTCTAACTGGAAAATATGACTTTCCTCGTAACTGGAAGGCAGGTATTCTGCAGTCAGAGTTGCATAAGAAGGTGCAATCTGCTGGCCAACAGCTACTATGTGAGCAACCAGCAGCAGGCTGGGTTTGAGCAAAGGTGCGAACCTCATGGCATTCACAGACTTACATCAGTGCTGGCAACTGGGGAAGGACATGTATTGGGTTTTCTCTTGCATTTTGCAAGACACCAGCACTGTCTTGATCCTATTTGAGCTGAGTTTTCAGCAGCTGTCATCTAGCTATCAGTCATTGACACAGCGCTGGACAGACGCTATGGTTCTTCTGCCCTTAGGTGCTGGGAGATTAAGCTGTGGGTGGTAGTATGGTGAACACGTGGCACAGTTTGCTTTGCTGAGGGTGGGGTGAAAAGGTGATTATTGCTTATTCTTGCTGTGAGATGTCTCTGACTATCAGAGCAACCACTCTGGAACTCTCTTGTGACCATGTGCAGAAAAGCGGGGATCTGCCCCTGCTCTGCCACCTGCAGCTAAATCTAGGGTCTTGCTAGTGATATTAGCAGTAGGGGTGTGAAGGGTTTAACCCCTCCTGTTAGACAGATGTTGCCATAACATGGAGTTTTCAGAATTATCTCCTATCCACAATCAAAATCTGAATTATGGTCAAAGAAGCCCAAGGACTATCTATTCCATATGTTTTTATAAAAACTTATGTTGAAGCTCTATAAATTAATAAGCATGAAGTATTATATAATTTTAGTGGAAGGCAAGCAATAATAAAAACCATGAGTGTCTGGCCTCTTAGAAATGCAACTGGAACTTAATTGCAGCTTGTTTTCTAGGTCATCAGTTTGACTTCTTGAGTATGTAATTCTCCCAGATGGTTTTGCTTTGTGGATGTCTAACATGATCTACATGTCTTCAAATGTTGGTTGGTTTTTTTTTTCTTCAGGTTTGGCACTTTGGAACAAATGCTGTCTAGAGTCTGAGTTGTGTAACATTAAAGTTTGAATTATGTCCAAATTTCAACTGTGTTATCAAGAACTGTCAAGTTTGCTCAGTGATAGCTGTATCCAGACTTCCTGAAGTGTAATGGTGGAAGTAGGCAGATTCAGGCTGTAGAAAGTTCTGGAGAAATACTGAATCCTTAGCAGGCACAGACTGCTTAAGTATCTGTTTCTGTACAGTATCAGATCATCCACGTACTGCAGGTACTAATTTAAAGTTTCTCACAGGAGTGCAGTGTGTATTAGGACATTAACCAGTGTCTGTGAAGTTGTCTGTAATCTCTTCACTTTATTCTATGGCTGAGACCTTAAGCTACTACTCACTTTTATTGTGCTTTGAATTTTATTGTCTTTTTTTTTTTTAAATCTATCTCTTTCCCCAGCAAGGTCATTTTTTTACTGTTAATGGCTCTGTGCCTCTAAAATGAGTTGTGGAAGTATGAGCTATATTTTGTCCTGCCTGTGCACCACCAGTATAAATGGGCTTAGTAAATTCTTCTTCAAAGTTGTGTTAGTGCTGGCACCAGTAAGACCTCAAAAGGTTCAGCTTTAACTTTCCGTACCAGATGAAGTCTGAATGCTCAGTTCCAAAAATTGCAATATTCCTAGGACAGTTTATAGGGAGAAAATAAAACTGAATAAACCCAAGACTTGTGTTCATGGAAGTGTCTAAGTGTCTTTTTGCTGCTTTGGTTTTTGTTGTGGTAGGTTTTTTTCCCTCTTCTCTTTGCTTGTCTGCAAATGTGAAGCTCCTGTAATTGAAGATTGTATATCCCTGTTGCACTGCCCATGATTTGTCAGCCACATGCAATTTTTAGCTGGTTGTTTAGGATAACCCTCCCATGGCTGCTGACTCAGTGTCAGTGAGTACCAGGTGGTTAGTGCATCTTCTGACAGAACCTTGCTGTGATTTTTTTTTTTTTAATTCGTTTCCTTTTACAAAAGTGTATTTTTATTAGTGTAACAATTCTGTTCTGAAAAGATATGCTGTCCTAATTAACAATTGCCTATCATAGTCTTTTTAATGCATATCTAATAAAGAACAGTTAGGTTCTGCAAAGGGAGACATATAATTGCTGCTTCCCCCTCAAGAAAAAAAAAAAAAGACCCAGAACCAAAAAACCCAACCAAACAAAAGCCTCAACAAAATATATTGACTCATAACATATTTTTAACCAGTCTCCAAAGTGATGGAGGCAGAGTGCTTTGTATGTTGGCTAATTGATTGCACAGCCTTTGATTGGTGGGATGCAATTTGGTTGAGCATCAGCTGCAATTGTAAGCTGTAGGACCATGGCTGAAATAATTCATGTGCAGCAGCAGGATCTCCAGACTGAATTAGAGGCTTGTATTGACTGTGGCACTGTGCATTATTTAGGGGATTGGTTCTGTGCCATTGAGTGTCTGAAGCAATTAACTGCTTCTCTCTGCTGAACAATCACCTCCTTTTTTTTGTGAGTTTCTCCATATCAATAGTGACTTTTAGTATAGTTTCTTTATTTTTGTGGCAAGACACATAAAAATCAGTCTTGCTGGGTTTTTTTATTCTCATTCTTGTGATTTTATTTTCCCCTTCATAGAAAATAAGGAAGTATTGAGAATACTCTGGTGTTTATAATGTCTTTATATTCTTCTAGGAAATAATGGAAGAGCTCTGGAAGTGTGTGAAAAAGGATTTATGTTTAATTTGTATTCCAGCCACTCCCAAGGTTCAGCAATCTATAGACCAAGTTGGCCCAGACGCTCTGGTATTGCTTGTTTAAAAAAACCAACCAAACAAAAAAGCCCAAATCATACTCCTACATTAGCTTTAGAGATTTCTGACCTTAAACTGAGTTGGGCTTGGCTTCAGCTGTAGCTTAAGGAATTAGACCCTGGATGGTAAGGAGCAGTCATTCCTCCAACATGATACCAGTCCAAGCCCAGCCTGGGCTCCTGCAGCGCTGTGTTGGTTGGCAGAGCCCTGGTGCAGGGGACAGTAGAAGCAAGGCCCCTCTGCAAAAATGTGTATGAGCCACGTGGCCCACGTGGTCTTGCCAAAGTGTTTTTCCCAGAGGTGGTTTCCTGGCGCAGTGTGGGAGCTTTGGTATCTCACTCCCTTGGTCCTGGCCAGCGAGATTTGCAGCTCAGTAATGAAAGCTGCTTTTCTCTAGTGATGTTGCTGCCTCATTTCTTCTTAAGTTAATGAGCTTGTAGTTTTTAATTAGACATAAATGACAGTTGTCATGTCTTGTTTGTTTATATCTTTTCATATCGCTCTAGTACTTCCAAAAGAGAAAAACAAAAAGGGTAATTTACTTCTGAAGCTGGGCAGCAGGGTGGACCAAAGTGGTACCTGGAACTTTTTGATTTTGGTCTAGCCTGGTGTTTTGGTTATTCCCTGGGAAAGTATCCAGAAGTGAAAGTCATTAATTCAGGATTACTTTTTATGTGGGCAGCATTTCAAGAGCTACTGAGAACTGCTTTGTTGAGAAAGATAGTGTTCAGAAATCAACACATCCGCCCCTGTCCCCTCCTTCCTATGATTTTTAGAAGTTTCTTGCCTGTTGCTTTTCAAGACAGTTTGGCTAGCCCTTCCCACAAAGGCGGAAGACATGTAAGGCAAGACAGCATGGGTGGCTTTTAGAAAGAGTGAAGAGGTGGGTTGAGGAGTGATGAAAGAAATTGAGGGGTGGTGGACTGAAAAGGTGGTTTTGGAAGAGAGAGTGAGTCAGTGATGCTGTGTTAGCAAAAGTACTGAAAATGGCATATGGCATCTCAGGAACATACTGTGGTCCAGTTGCCTGCAAAAAGGACACATAGCTGCCAATAAGCAGGGGTTATGGTGTACAACATCTGGACCTGTCCACAAATCTTACTATTTAAAAGGGTTTAATTTTCCTGGGGGAACTGAGAATCTTTGGGGCCTTATTTGCACTGAGTCCTGAGTGAGAGAGGTGGTGGAATTGCAGGGAGAGAAGTAACTGAGAAATGCAGTTTTGTTTTTCAGGCTGGCAGCCTCGATGGTTTCTTCTCTGTGGTGGCATACTGTCCTATTATGACTCTCAGGAAGATGCCTGGAAGGGTTGTAAGGGAAGCATCCAAATGGCGGTGTGTGAAATTCAAGGTAACTAAGATACAGTAACACTCAGCTGCATGAAGTTTGTCCAATAACGTTGCATTCAGGATGAGATTTCAGGTCACAAGAGCTATTTGGCAGCTTGATTTCTTTGGTATGTATTTGCAGTAACTCAGTAACTTGATCTATATGCCAGTTTTTATTCTATAGTATTTTGAAAATGTTAAGAGGGGTGCAGGCCTCTGATATAATGGGTATTCTACAGGCAGGTAGGTCACTGTTTTTCATGCCCATGGTAGAACATCACACAGCTTTAAATGACTCTTCATAAGCACAAAGCCGAAGCTAGAAATATGACTAATAAGCTTCAGTACTAGGCATGCTCACTTGGATTGCTTGCCACATCTTTGAGGCTCAGGCTGGAAACCTGACAGAGAGGCTTGCCAGAAGAGGATGCCCTTTCCATAAAGACTCCTGGATGATGCTGTACTGGTCACAAAACTTCCTTTCATAGACTTTTGTCCCACAGCTGTATATATGTGTGTCCTGTCTATTCCTTAACTCCAAAGAGAAGTCATAAAATGGCAACAGGGGAAGTCTGGAGCTGTAGATTCATCCTCTTTCTTGACTCTTTGACCTGCCACCTAACATATCTTTGGGGGTATTCAGTTGGGCTGGGAAGGGCTGAGGGACTGGTCTGAAACCTGTGTTGCTTCCAGTTCATCCTGCAGATAACACACGAATGGACCTGATCATCCCAGGGGAACAGTACTTCTATCTGAAGGCAAGAAATGCAGTTGAAAGGCAGAAGTGGCTTGTTGCACTAGGAACTGCCAAAGCCTGTCTGACTGACAGCAGGACACAGAAGGAAAAAGGCAAGAACACCCTTCTGCTGGCACATACTGTTTGCTTTCTATTTCCCCATCCTTACCCTAGTAGATGTACACACAAAGATGATAAAGTCCATACCTGAACTCTCTGTCCAACCTGTGCTTGGTTCTTGGTGCTGCTAAAAACCAAGCCACGTGGGAACTCCAGCTAGAAATCTCAGGTGTTAACTCTTAGTGTGGGGATTTGAAAACTTTGGCTTTTCCTTGAAATATACTATGTATAAATAATTTGAAAACTGTGTGCTGATGGGTTCTGTTACTAAAAGGAGCAAGTAGCTCCTGGCTGTGAGTCACTGGGTTGCAGACCGTGCATGACAGTAAGGCCCCATCCTAGGCAACCATCTTAGTATGAGTGGCTCTTGAGCTTTGGAGTTCCTCAGACCCTTTCCTTCCTTGTTCTAACTGGGCTGTCTTGTGCACTCCAAGAATCCCTTGGCAATTAAAATAAAGGTTCGCAATTGATTTTAAATTATAGTGCATACTAGTGTTCAGAAAATGAAATCTAATCATGGTCGAGCTATGAAAATTAATTCACTTATCTCTTTGCTTTTACCAACAATCTCGCTTCCACCCCAGGAAAACGCCTTTTGCTTACAAGTATAGTGTTATTCATGAGTCAGGGTGAGATCTCATGCCTTAACTTTTTGTAACCTCAGCACATGGCTATGCAGAAGATGCGAAAACGGAAAATTATTAATATATCAGTGATCCCGAGCAAATGCAGGCAGGGCAGGCACTTCCTTGCCCTGAGATGAAGAATCACTTCTCCTCTTAGCCTTATGTGCATCTTCACGAGGCATTGCATCTACCAATTCAAACTGAGTCAGAACTGAGCAGAAGATGCTACTGTAGCATCCTGCACAAAGTTAGGTTCTGATGCACAGTGCCAAGAAGCAGAACAAAGTTCTATCAGTAGCACAGGGTGAAAAGCTACTGATGCATTTTCAGAACTAAACCATGTTATTAACAGGCAATTTATTTTGTAATGTTGGGACTCTAATGTCAAAAAATTACTTCTGAAAAATCTCAGATTGACTGTTAGTTGTATCTGGATTGGTCTGCTCAGTTCTGCACTCTCCAGTACAAGAAACATATGGACATGTTGGAGAGAGGCCAGCAAAGGGCTGCTAAGATGATTAAAGGAAATACCTGATGGGAGAGCATTAAAAAAATTAAGCCAGACTCTTCTCAGTGAATGGACAAGAGGAAATGGGCATAAGTTTAAGTACAAGCAACTCCACTGAAAAATAAGCAAAAATGTGTATATTGTGAAGCTGAGGAAGCACTAAAGCAGGTTGCACAGAGAGGGTGTGGAGTCTTCATCATTAGCAATGTTCAAAATGTGACCAGACATGCCCCTGAACAGCATGCTCTGGCTGACCGTGCTTCGAACTGGGGAGTAGGACTAGCTGGTCTCCAGGGATCCCTTCTAACCTCAACCGTTCTGTGATTCAGGATATATATTAAATTAATCCCTTTGCGTTGGACAGGATGTGTCTTTTCCATCCAGTGTTTCCTACCCAGAACTCTGATTTTTTTTTAATTCACAGTGTAATTGTTTGCACCTTAAATTACTTAGTGAAAACAAAAAATATGTAGGGGTTTTGTCCTATTTAAAAGGCCCATTAAGGTCAAGTGTTGTGTACTTGCTTTTTCTGTGTCCTAAGTCTGGGAACATACTGTTTCTGTCTATGATGGCAAATAATGAAACAGTATTGTATTTGTCAGGAGCATAATTTATGGCCAATCCAGCTCATCTTTTTTAGTTGATAGAAAATGTTTTGAAATCAGGAAGTATTGATTGAGTTAGATTGGGTAATACTATTTCAGCAACTTTCTAAAATTGTATACTGCAAGATGGATACAATAAATTTAACTCTTCTTTTGTTTCACTTTTAGAGTTCACTGAAAACACAGAAGCCTTGAAGACCAAAATGTCTGAACTTAGACTGTACTGTAACCTCCTTGTTCAGCAAGTGCATAAAACAAAGGAAGCCAGCATTTCTGGTGTATCAGAACCAGAGGTACAGCTCTTATTTTTGGTGTAGACCACATCTGTAAAGTCTTCAGCATTGTGAACTCTTCTGGTTAGCCAATGTAGTACTCACTCGCAGTTACTTAATATTTCATCCTCTTTCTGCAGAGAACCTGTGTGAAATAATGTACTCATGCAACAGTTCTTGTTTAAATGGAGTAATACTGTGTTATTGCAAATAAATTTCCCTCTGTTGGGGTAGGAAGTAGTGTGATGAGATATGATATCTGTGATCTAGTTAATAACATTTCTGTAGGTAATCATGTGTATATAATGGGTCAAAAAAGTATAAGATTTTTTTATAAAAAGATAACTTGTAAGAAGTGCACATTTGTATTCCCCCAAGTCATTCATATTCTGCTCAGCAAAATACTTTTCTCAACCAAAACCCTTAAAAGGTCAAGAGGCAATACAGATCACACTAGAAAGAACTGCCTGATTAAGCTCACTTAAGTTAAAGTTTCAAACCTTGTGAATCTTCCTGACCAAAGAAGCCTTGTTTAGGAGGGGTCTCCTAATGACAGTGATCTGCCCCTTGCTTTGAGAGAGAAATGTGTGAAGAGGGGTGCACATCACTTGCTAGAGAAGCTGGTGTAGAGTTCCAGGATGCCTTCCATGGGAGAGGTGGGTCCTCAGGTACAGGACATACAGGCAGAACATCTGAAGGTTAATCATTTGTATGAAACCATCTTTGTAAAGGTACCTGATAAACTCTTTAGGGTAAATTAACAGATAGTGCAGAAGCATGATGTAGTGTATAAATGATAAAAGGCAGTGTTAGAACTTACAGCTCAACTGTTACAACTTACATCTTACTTGTTACAACAAACAAGTAATGTGGTGTTTATCCAGCTCACACTTCTTAGGAAAAACTTGCTTCCCCTGATCTTACTGGTATTTGACTGGAAAGATTTATTGCTAAAAGCATTTCAGCATCAATAACTGCATTTTGCAGGGATGGAGAGTGTTATGGCAATGTGATACTTCATTCTGCCTGTTTTTCAATTTTTTTTGTTCATGGGATTTTAAAAATTATTATCTTCAGATCATTCTATATTTATTTAATATATTTACTTTTCATTTCTCCAGTCAGTGGTGTCTTCAGGAATGTCATTGTTGAGTACATCAGGGCTTAGTATTCAATACACTTTTAACACCAGAGATAAGTAACTAAGTATTGCTTTTAAAATGCAAGTGTACTGAGCTGGTTGTAGTGAGAGGCTGACAAGAGTGATAATGTTATGAGGGGGAATAGCCCCAGTAGTATGTGATGCCAGTTCTCTGACCAGCTGACACATTGCATTTTAATTCACGTTAAACAGAAATCTTGCAGTTGTGGACTTTGTAGATGTTAGTCATTCCAAATTGATCTTCTGTAAGATCCATTGCAGTCCATTTCTTCCAATTTTTTTTTTTTCCCCACAGAGTGAGATTGATATGGGAGCTCTGTTAAAATCAACCTGTGACACCTTCCTGAAGACTCTTGAAGAATGTATGCAGATTGCAAATACTGCCTTCACTTCTGAGTTATTGCATCAGACCCCACCTGGATCCCCACATTTGGCAGTTCTCAGAACGAACAAGGTAACGGCCAGTGTCCTCTTCTCTCAATCTTGGCACGGATGCTAAGGTGCCCTTTTGTAAAGTAGCATTTGTGGAAGTAGGGAATGCATTTTTACCCATATCATAGCTAGTAGTCCTCCACGGAACATACTCTGCTATTTCTTGTGGTTTACAAGTGACATAGGGCCATTTATTAATAAGTGGTGACCAATCTTGTATCTTTTAATGATAGCTGAAAGTTATTGAGCATTAACTTTCAGGGTCTGCTCCAGCTACAGACAGTGGAGTTTCAAAATACCATGTCTGTATGGCAAGTTGGTCTGTTATGGGAGCTCGCAGCAGTTATTACTCTTCTAAGCTACTACATCATCGGATCTGTGGTAATACACCAACAGGAGCTGATGAGCTTATCTTTTTAATGACACGGGCATTTTCTTGAATCCTGGATCTACAACTACGTAGGCAAAACTGGAGCTTCTCTGATAAACAGCAAATTATGGTGTATGTAGGAAGGTAGATGCATCACTGCATCTGGAAAGTGAGATTACCTCACCATACCTGGTATCTGGTCTCAGGTTTTTTTCATAATTTTTTTTCTTTACTAAAGAAAACATCATTGCCAAGAAAACTCACTGCCCTGTTTCTTTTCCGCATGCTGTATGGTGTCTCACTTGGCACTTGCTAGCTAGCTTCTGAAAGAAGTCTCCTGATTTTCTTTATCTTTTTCCATTTTAATGGTGTAATAATGTAGCACCTTTTTCAGATTTGTCTGTATACTGCCTCCAGGTCAGAGAATTAGTGAGTGTATGCTTAGCTTTTCAGATTTTTTGGTAACTCAAACGTGTTTAATAAAATGTGAAGTTTGAGAAGCATGATACCGTCTTCTTGCTTTAAAGAATATTCTCTCTCCCCATTTATCTTGCAGATAAAGCACTCTGTCTTGTCCAGTCACAGTTCAACGGAAAGGTATAATAGAAGTCTTTACTGTCAATCTCTTCTCAATCTGTTTTTGACGGTGTCTGTTCTTTCAATATTTTTGCAACACAACAAAAGGGAGCTGTCTCTTCTTTATTATCCCTTTCCCTTTTATTTTTCTCAGCCAACTACTTGACGACTTACTGATCAGTCACCAGCCATCTCTCTCCCACTTCACTGCTCTTTTCCAGCATCTTAGGTTCCACTCCATAAACTCATAAGATCATTGATAGAGAGCAGGCTGTAATTTGTGGAGTAGATGGCAAGGATATATATTTTAAAGTACTACTGAAGGGATATTCTTTCAGTTACAATACCTGCCTGTGATTTTCTTTTTTGTAATCAGTTCTTTTTTATTATGTCTTTTTTTTTAATAGAGGTCATTGTAAATGCTCAGAGCAGCCTGTGACAGCTTATAATTTCTGTCAGCTTCTCTTATTGTTTTTTGTGTGTTTTCACAGGAAGAAACTTACCAAGCAATGTTTTATACATTAACCATTGTTCTTTCCCTTTCTTCAGGCAGATGGAATTGAACCCCTGTGAAAATGGCTCTGTAAAAGCAGAATTTAACCATCAAGAGCAAACACTTATTAAAAGTCTGGAATGTTTAAACCTAGAAACAAATGAGGGGAGCAGTGATGTTTCTGTTGAAGATCACATAGCAGAGGATTTGACAGGTAAATATATGCAATGTCTTTTATCCAGGATCATTACTCTGTAAGTGTAAATGGAGGGAAGTGTAGGCTGCCTGTGAGAATGCTGATACCTTGCGTCCCAGGAGGGGGAATGTCAGTGTATTTTAGTCCAAGATCTACCCTTTGCAAATCTTTTCAGCATAGCTTCTGCCCTTGTTGATAGCTAACTTGGAGCTGACTGGGGAAGGAAATTAAAAATTTTTTTTTGGACAAGCAGAGGCTCGTCTAGATGCTGATTGATGTTTGTAACATCACAGCCTGGCAGAGCTTGGGCTCTGCTTGCACTTTTCCCAGAAGCCCTCCACTGGGAATGCCAGCACTTCTGCTAGTATGTAGGGCTGCAGTGTCAGGAGGGGGACATCAAAGCTTTGTGTGCCTGTCTTGGAGGGGTTGACCTTGTAGTCGCTCTTGATTGCTCTGGCAAATCTTTATGGAAAATTAACCCTTTTTCTGCAACTAAGAGTATACTAGAAAGTACCTTATTTCTTCAATTACCTTAGCCATATAACAAAACTTGGATTTGTGCATGACTTCAGTAAAAAACTGTTGAACTAATTCAGTATAAAATTCCATCTAACATAGCTATGTTGTTAAGGGCTGCTGAACTTAATTTGGGTTAAGTCTATACAAGTAACATGATTTCTGCTCATCCTGTTGAACAGTAACTTTCTCTGCCTGACCATTGTTCCAAAACATACATATGCAGTCAGTGAAACAGCTGGTTTTTAAGCCTGTTAATGAACATGGTGATTTTGCTCTTACATACGTTCTCTTTGGAGTTTTTGCCATTTCTGTAACTGGTGTTGTGTAGTGTGGTAAGACCCTGCAGAATAACATGCATGTGTCACAATTTATCATAATACCTCAAGAATAGAGTGTTAAAGCAAAGAGATCAAACTAATTCCAGTCAGGTTGTTGGTATCATTTAGCTACTGAGGTTGATCCTGTGCCAGAAAAAAAGCCTACCCCTTCTCGGGTACACACGTTTGAGCTGCAGAGCTTTGCTGGAAGCATGAGGTGGAGTAGGATGTGCAGTGCCATCCATATGGGATAGGCTGAACCAGCCAGCCTGTGGCTCTCTCTCGCTCGCTGATGGCTGTATTTGGGTGCTCCATGTGAGCCCAGGAGCTGTGCCCTGTCTCAGATAGTCTTCCTCCCTTTCCCCTTTATTAAGAGCAGTCATTTTTTAAAAATACTCAAGCACTTAAGTCATATAAATAATTTCCATTTGTCATTTAGGGCTTACAGTGTTAGAGTTTGAAATTTCAGAGGACTCCAGGCTTTTTTGCATAGCCCTCCTGTGGAGTCACTGCAGACTTGGACTGTTTCTCTGTTCACCAGCCTGTGTGTCTTGGTGAAGGACAGATCAGTAACACCTCTCAAACTCTAGTTCCTTAGCAGAGTCACTTTGCTTGTGAATGAGGCATAGTCAATGATGTCTGAGGCCATTTTTTTCTGACTTAAGGAGAATAGCTGAACTCTCATTGCTGTTATCAGGTGCAAGTGGTTCTTTTTCCACCCAGAACCAGGCTTATTCAGTGGTTCTGCAAGTAACAGGGAAAGCTGCAATTTTTTTTCAGACTTTGCTTGGAGGAAGAGAGTTCCTTGCAGCTTGATCCCTTCAGCCAGAAGCTCAGTTCCACTCCAGGTCTGTAAATACTGGCATTTGAAAGCATTCATTTCCTGGAGAGACAGGTTCCCTAGAAAAGCTTGGATGCTAGTCTGATAGTGTGACAGCAAGATGTGCTGTAGCCATACCTTGTACGCTGCAGATGCTGCGATATATCATTTTTGCTTTTTTGTCTTGTTCTCTGCAGTTGTTCATGATGTCAGAAGGTCTTGCCATGCATAGGATGTGACCTTTGTGAAGACTTTGTCTTCATTCAGAGGTCCTCATGTAATGGTCTGTTTATATGAAACAGATGCACTTGACACCAAAGAAGAAATAAAATAGACCATAGTGGGGAAGAGGCAACTGGTTGTTCTTCTGTGAATCTTTGAAGATACTCATACAACTCAGGGAGAACATAGCAGTCTTTGATATCATAACAGTATCAATCTAAGCAGCCAGTTTAATTACTTACCAGAAGGAGTAAACAAGTCACAATTATTCTTTTGCTTTTGAAAATGCACTGTGACACCTTACCAGTGCTGGGAAAGTTACAGCCATGTGAGAAATAGTCTTTCTTTCAAGGAGATGAGTCTGGTCCCTGTTGCACCCACTTGCTTCTTCACTGTTTTTCTCTCATAAGGCTGTCCTTACTGAGTATGTGCGGGCTCACCTGCATTGGAGCCTGGTGCTTGGTCTGTCTGATTAAAAGAAGTAGGGAGGGGACTGGTTGAAATGTCATCTGAGCACCTGACAGACCTGTGGTGAGAGTCATGGCGCTGGCAGGGGAAGCCAAGATTGCCAAACTTGCGTGATCCAGATATCCAAGTGCTGTCTTTGAGATAGAAAGCATCTTGATGAACAGGGATAACAATATGAGTATATGGCTGTTTTCTTTTTCTTTTTTTTGTTTTTCTGCTGTTTCATATAAATGTAAGGCATTAAAGACGACGAAGAGAACAAGCTGCAAGCTGTAGAAAGCTGTGGTGCCCACAAGTTCCTGCAGTCGGAATTGAATTCTTCAAGTGGATTGACTCTATGTGAGGAAGACAGAAGTGAAAATGATTCTCCTACCTTCTTCAGTGTCATGAGCAATAGGTAGCACAGATTTCAATTAAAAGGATTATTGAACCTTTGTTAAGCCTTTGACTAATTTTTAAGATTCTTCTGTCTGTAAAATTGTATGTGCTGTGATTATTTGGTTATTTAACAAGACTGCATACAGCACAGTAATTGAAGAAGATATCATTTGTAGAATTAGCTTTACAGAGTGGAGAGGGAAGTTTTTTCCTTATTTGTAATTGCAGGCCTTGCTTGCACACCACCAAATGTGTATTTTCTGCAGTCATTTACTTTAACCTAGTGAAGCAAAAGCTGTGTTTGTGGTTCCATGTCTATAAATCTTATCACTGTGCACATGAAGTGGGCATGAAATGTAATTTTGCTTTTAGAAGCTGCACAAAAGAAGTTGTTAAGGTAACAATATTTTCTACTTGTCCTGGACACCAGGTTCAGTGATATTGAACTTCGAGAGGAGGAGGGCATACCAACAGAAGAGTTTCTGGAGTCGTGTTATGCAATTGTGCCGGTTCTGGGTAAGCAGCTCCTTCTTTTCTTCTGACTCCTTTTGACTGTTGCCAGGTGTGAGAAGAGGTGAAGCAGTTGTTTTGACTATATCACTTTAGCAAAGAAATAAATTCTCCAAACCAGTTCCTATCAGCAGAATATATTTAGCTGGTACCAGAAGATGTTTCTTACTCCTTTGCTTCATAGAGGACCCACTCTCATTTAGATGGGACCCATGTATAAGCTGTCTGGAAATCTATGGGTCTATCAGGAACAGCAATTTTTTCCCCTCAAAAGAGCAGGGTGAATGCCTTACATGTCTAGTACAGCTGACAAAACACTTATCAGCTGTACTATTTGATTTTTCCAAAGACTTCTACCTCCAGCTAGTGCAGCCCCCCACCTGCTTGGCCCCTGCATCTAACAGTGGATATGAGGTCCCTGTGAGCATGCACCCTGTTGAAGGCTTTCAAATTGTAGGTCGGTGTATTTTAACACTTGTACCAAATGGGGTGGATTGGTTCTACACCAAAGACAGACTTCAATTTACGTCATTCATTTAGTATTCTCCTGCCATTTAGAAGGATTGTTAAGAGAGTAAATGAAATTAATTGTTACTAAGACATGCTGACTGGAAAATGACACAATTCTAAAATATAGCCACCTTTGTTTTTCTAGACAAGCTGGGACCAACTGTTTTTGCTCCTGTTAAAATGGATTTTGTAGGCAACATCAAGGTAACAGCTTATTTCTAGTACTGACTTTTTTTGGTTTTTTAAAACAAACTATTTTAGGCACTAAAGCTCAAGAATCTTTGTTGTAGGAGTCAATACTAGAAGGCTATTTAATACTTGATGATATTACCATCTGTCAGATCAGAATACTGAAATGCCCCTAATTCTGGTTATATAATATGTGCTGTGTTTAATAAATCCAATTGTTATGTGCAAACTTACAAAATACTTGATTGCCTGCCAAGTAAAATATCTGTTACACCTAATGAATATGGCTTTGATTCTGAGCTGAATAGATTGTAAGTCGTGATATGATGGTAGCTGTATTGACTTTAGACTGTAAAACAAATGGAGGGGGGGAAGGAACCCCTTTCGTCTACCAAGTAGGAGGAAGTTAGTGTGTTAAGAAGCAGCTTCTCAACAGGTCAGGGCAGATCCTGCAGCTTTGGTTCTAGTTCTGGAAATTCTTCCAGCATCAAGTCTGAAAAGGTTTGAAGTGCTGCTTGTGAGACAAGATGTATTCACAGCGAGACTTTTCATAGCATTTCTTTCAAGGAAAAAAACCAAACCAAACAACACAAACAAACAAACAAACAAAAAAGGCAAAACATATCTTCTGAGTGTATGATAAGGAACACTGCATACATTCAGATTTGTTTGGTGCAAAGTAAGACAGGTATTTGCTTATCTTACTGAAGGTAGTCACTGAAAGACTGAAAAAAGAAAGAGAAAAATGCTATTTAAAAAACTAAAACTTTGAATATTTATTGTTGAGTGATAGGCACCTACTCCTTTAATGAAGAAGAATGTTTATCTGCCCCTTATACATTCTCTCTTGTTTTTGTGAGAAGTTGTGTACAACCAACTTAGGAATAAATTAAAAAGCTTAAGCATGCTGATGACTGCTAAGCGTGATTGAGAATTCACATCTTAGCAGTTTTCAGAAGGTAATCTTGCTTGTACTTGAAGCTTGGGGCAAATGGGACTTTGCTTGGAGAGCAGATTGAGTTAACTCCTTCCCACTGATGTGGAGGATGCCATGTGAATCTAAAGCATTTTGTCAGACAGAAATGGTAGATTACACGTAAATCTTTGAGATACTTTTTGTTGTTGTTGTTTCATTAGCCAGATGGCTAGCCAGATGTGTCTGGCCTGGTGCCCTGGGAAAGTGTGCCCAGCGTGGCAGGGCAGCCACACTGTAGGGAGCATGTGATGTGGTTGGGGGTCTGTGGTATCCCTTTGCAGGGAAGAGTCCTGGTAAGTAGGTAGTGTTTATAGGACAGGCCACTTTTTGTTCTTAAAAGCCTAAAGCTTTGCCTCTTGTTCTTTTCTCTAGAAAATAAACCAGAAATTTATAACCAACAAAGAAGAGTTTGATACCCTTCAGAAGATAGTGCTCCATGAAGTGAACGCAGGTGTAGCACAAGTTAGAAACTCTGCTACAGAGGCTCTCCTGTGGCTGAAAAGGTAATGGCCTTGTATCTACTTACACCATGAACTGCTGAGATGCAATGAGGGGCCTTTCACTAGTGCAAGCTTGTGTACATGGAGCAAACTGGTGACTTTCCACAGGGTCCATCAATCCAAGCTGGCTAGGTTCAAGAGTAATGTGGTGTTCTATGGTTGTATCACTGCAACTTTCCCAAAAGGCCTGAAAAAGTGGTTGCAGGAAACCTTTTTTTCCCCTAAATGTGAAGTTACAGTGAGTGACTGAACCAGCTGGGCCAGAACATCAGGCAGGTGATTTTGGGCTGCAGACAAAATGTTTTAGCAAAGTCTTTTTTCCTTTGAGCTGGGAGAGAGGCTGGAGGAGGTGGCTGCATTTTTTTTAATTCAGGTTGAAAATGGCACCTTAATTCTGAGTATTATTGCACTTCTGAGTTGTATTGCAACTTTGGGGGCTTTGTTATACTTTGGGTTGCTCTGTTATAAACATGGTTTCTTTTTATTTCATGGGTTCATCCTGACAGAGGCTTAAAGTTCTTGAAAGGGTTTTTGACAGAAGTGAAGAATGGAGAAAAGAACATCCAAACAGCTCTGAGTAGGTGCCAGTTGCTTTATTCTTTGTGTGTTTATGAGTTTACATACTTCCCTATTTTCCTCCTTGTTTAGAACTTGTTTTTTCATCAGTGACTAATGATGCAGGTAATCTCCAAGACATAACTTTTTTGAAAGCTGCAGGTTTTTAAAATGGCCCTCTTCAGGCAGGTTACTGGATAACTGATCAATGTTGTTTTAATAGCAGATAAAGGTTCCTTCATTTGGCATACTCTTGGCAGGGGAGACAGTCATATCTCAGGGAAGAAAGTGCTTTGTCTCGTTCCACTTTCTCTACTGGTTTACAGCAAGAGCACTCCCAAATCTATAGTTGCTGTTGTGGTTTTTGGTTTGGGTTTTGTTTTTTTCTTTAGTTTCTTGTGATATTTGCCATCACTCCTTGAAATCACCCTTTTGCCAGTATGACTGTGAATTGCCTGTGTCTTTTAGAAGGGAGTTTGTAACAGGAAAGACGGAATTTTTTCCAAGTACGTGATTTCTGACACTTGCCCACCACAAGTATAAAACAAAATACAAACCCCTCTTAGTCTTGACTTAGTTATTCCTGAGTAAAACGCTCTCTATATGCATGCAGTCTAATGTTATGATAATCCTTTAAAACATCTTTTTTTAAAGCTTTTTTTTTTTTTAGCTTATTTTAAACAGCTAAGCAGTCGCCCTATATAGGATTAGTAAAAAGATCTACTACACTGAAGTATGTAAGCAGCTCTTGGAAGTGGGACTGTAAATACACTGCTACCAGATGTGGATATTAAACATAATGAAAATTCAGGCACTTATTTGACCTTCTGAGTCTGAAGGCTTCATCACTGAATTACTACTTGAATTGCTCTGTGTTTGCAACAGAGCCATGCTGCTAATTTTTTTTTTCTCACTTCTTACTCCCCTTTTCCCTGTGAAAAACTCTTCCGTATCTCTATCACCAGTGCAGCTTTGGTTTACTGTCAGAGTTTCTTATTTAGGAGTAACTGAGCTATTTGAATCTTAAGTAAAGATGGAGTATGTGTTTTCTTTCTACAACCTCAAATATCAAGCTAATGAAATTAAAATAAAAAATGGAATATCCACCAGTTCTTATGATCTTCTGAAGAACAAACAGCTTCCTAAAGACATTTGTCTTTACTTGAGAATTAAATCTAAGCAATCTTTTCAACTATTAGTTCTTTTAATGTCCCCTACATTTGCTGATAAGGCAGAGAATAGACTTGTCAGTCCTGTTTGATACACAATACTCTTTTTCTCCTTATTTCATTGCTCTTATAACTGTATGTTTTTCTCGTAGATTATGACTTACACTGTAAAGATAAATAAGCTGCATTCCCCAGTCATTACAGTGATAAATGAGGAGTACTTCATATTACAGCAAAACTTGTGGCTGTGTTTTTCTGGCTTTTTACATTCTTCCGGTAATAACTGTCTGAAGTCTTCTGAGCAAATATCTGAAAGCAGCAAAATGTAGAGGTTTTCTTTCTTCAAAGTGGACAGCTCAGGGAAAGTATAATACAATGTCAGATACTTAAAAATTCAACTGAAGGACAAGGGTATAAAATGATGACAGTGACAAACTAAGACTGGGAAAATATAGCTCGAAGATGTTTGTCTTTGTATGTAGAAAGCTTTGTATATGAAAGTGGAGCTGTCTGGGAGCATAACAAGGGCCTTCATCAAAGGCTATGCTCAGGGGCACTCACAAGACAGATATGGAGGATTATGTCAGTAAAGGCCCAATGCTTTCTATTTCAGTGATCCTCAAAACTTGACCCTCAGATGTAAAGAGAGAGTTCTTGGTTAATGCTCGAGCTAACCACCTCAGTTGAGGCTGGCTAATCATCAGCTTGCAGGATTGTTTCACCCTGTATATTATTTTCTCAGACTTACACTGAACTAAGGACTGAATAGTAGAAGTGTTAGATATGAAGCACACCTCATCAAATAAAAATTACATTTGGTTTCCTGTCTGTTAGAACACTTAGTTACTGTGAATGAGCTGAAGTAGATTTGACAGCAGAGCTGAGACCCCAGTGCAGAAATCCCAAATCTGTCATCTTCTTTCAGGCATAACTTTGGTGCTCAGAAACACCCATTATTTGCATCCAGTGGCAAGAATAGATCCTTAAATAGTTGTTTCTTAAGCTCTAAGTTCTCTTTGTGATGCAAACTTAAAACTGCCATACATCTATCTCTTGATTTTTTTTTTTATTTTTATTTTTTCCTTTAAGACAATGCTTATGGAAAGACATTACGGCAGCACCATGGTTGGGTTGTTCGCGGGGTCTTTGCAGTAAGTATTTATCTTGGTCTTGTTCATGTGATCTTATGTTGTGTGTGTAATTAATAAACGATGTTAAAATTCTAAACACTAAAATTAATAGATTTCTTTGTCAGACCTTATTTTCAAAGTGAGGATTGTAGTTATTGCTATGTTTAGTATTAGGCTTTCAAGGGTGGAACCTGCTTTATGGAGCCAAAAGAGATGGATCATGCTTGCATGCACATTTTTTTCATTATGTGTTTTTTCAGCACAGTCTTGCAGGGCTATTAAATGAAGAAATGAGGGTTTGAGGTTGCTTTTTTGAGGATTGATCTGTCTTTGGATGTGAGCATTCAAGAAGGGTTAGTGCAGAATGTGTTAGGGAGTTGAAATAGAATATATTGGCTAGAGGAAACGGTTTATTTTTTTGTCCAATCTGGCAGCTCCCTCTCGTGTCTGTCACTGGAAATTATCACTGCAATTACAAAAGGAAAAAGGAAAGCCTCATCCAAGCAATCATGATGGAAACTTTGACTGGGAGAAATGTAAATGTTGGGGAGAGATTTCTAAAGAGCATTTTGAGAATGGGACTTCAGTGCTGAAGTATGTGACACTGGGCTAGAATCTCCCCTAACTGTACTTTATCTGGGGTTTGTATTTCTAATGTACAATATTTATTTGTACAAAGTATTATATATAGAAGCTTCCTAAAAATTGGGTGTCTCTGAAGATGTCTTAAACTGGGGATCTACATAGAGATAATAAAAACAGAATTAAAAAATGTTAGCCTCCCTCCCAGTTAAAAATCTTTAACATATGCGCATACACGTAATTACATTAAAGCTGTGCAATCTAAGTGCAAAGAGAGATGTCATAAAAGTTTTTTGTGGATTTAGTTGGGATTCTTTTCCTGTTCTGTTTTGCAAATCTAAAAACTTTTGATTCCTCTCCCAGTTAGCTTTAAGGGCAGCTCCAACATATGAAGACTTTGTGGCAGCTCTGTCTGTAGAGGAGTGTGATCTTCAGGAAGAAACATTTTACAAAGGAATGCAGAGGGACCTCAACATTTACTTACCAGCCATGGAAAAGCAGCTAACTATCTTGGACACTCTTTATGAAGTACATGGTTTGGAGTCTGATGAGGTGGTATGACTACAGCAAGATCACATCTTAAAACTTCAGGGACTGTGTCTATTAACAAAGATTTCTTTTGGTTTGTGTTTTTTTTGATATTGTTTCTGTTCGTTGTATCTTTACAGGTGGGAAGGGTGTTATGAGTGTTTTTGGGGAAGGGTATGTATGACTTTTATTTTTTGTTACACTTGTTTTGTGTTTAAATGCAGAGGTACTGTTTCTCTTTGGGTCATAACTATGTCCGTGATGAATGTTTTTGACTGTTTCTCTCCTGCCTGTGCATGTCCTCTTCTCTTCACCTCATAAAGGTAACAGAGCAGAATTTGGCCTTTGCTCCCATACTCTAGGAGGAAGCCACGTGTGCAGCGGAGCCATTGGGACATCAGCACGGTGCCCAAGCAGGCATTGCTGGCTCTGGCTCTCCCATGCCCTAGGCCCACTCCCCATGACAGTGTAGGAGGACAGAGGCGGTGAACATTAGTGTTACCCTGGTAGCAGAAGAGAAAGGAAGCTAAATGACAGCTTATAAGGTACACAGTGAGTTTGTCCCTTAATTTGGGTTGAAACTTTTTAATGCAGCACCTCCCCAGATATTTCACAGATCTTCACCACAGGCATATGTGGCTGGTGGCCTGAACTTCCCCAGGAACCAGCCTTTGAAACTGAGTGTTGTGTTCCCTAACCAGCTCCTAGTATGTGCCATGTTCTCCTATCAGCTCCTGCCAGTGGAGTGCAAGAAATTTGCTGGCACAGACTGGCAAAGCCCAGCTAATTTCAACAGTGCTTTACACAAGCAATTGAAGATCACATCCATCATCCTGGCTTATGAAGGTTTTGGTGGGTTTTTCTATTTTGGGTTTAGGGTTTTCTTGAATCACATTGACACAAAAACATATTTGCTTTTAAATTGAATACAGCTAGCAGTTTAAAAAGCAGATTTCATTAAAATCTTTCCTAGACTGCCATTACGGGCAAAGACTTCATAGAAATAGACATGAAAATACTAAAGCATAGAGCAAGCTAGAATTTGTCATGGATCCATTACACATTGGGCCAATTACAAACCTTAAAATCGAAAATGATGTAGAGGTGACTGGAAATTAAGAAAGTAAGATTTGCCCTTTTTACCATTTTACTGATACAGATGAAAATGTGCTCCTTGACACTGCTGCTATTAAAAATAATAAAGAAGTCCTTTTAGCTAGTGGTATGGTTAAGGATGAAATTCCTTCTTGTGTTGATCTGTGATTCACAGGCTCTGAATTACTGACTGCCCATTCAAGGCATAAACAGGTCTCCCGGTGGTGACCTAGGGCTTCAGATGGCTTTGTGCATAGATTGAGTTTAACTCACATGCAGGAGGAGGGAAGATTGTGCTAATGATGTGCTTAGAATTAGTAAATCTTCATAAATACAAAAGTCAGTGTTGCCATACTCACAGGAGAAGTACTGGCTTTTGCTAGGCTAAAAAACATGTTAATAAAATGAATGTACTGCAGGCCTGCTGTCCTGCATTGCTCTGTGATGGGAGCCTCTCTGCACACCGAATACTTGGTCCTTTCTAAAGATCCTAGCATTGTGAGCTTTAAGAAAAGCATATGATGCTTGAAGAAAAGACCAAACATCACACTTGGTGTATAAAGCAAGATACTGGAACTTTAGGCATTTAAGCAGTGTGACTTTCTTGTTTCTGTCAACTTCTCGGAGTTGTGCCTATCTATAGTTCCAACACACACCAAGAGGGATCAGAAGGATGTGGGGGTTTTGTTAGTTTTTTGGATATTCTTAATTTAAGTAGTATGTATTTATGTTAGAGTACAAAGTCAAAACTTGTGACCAAAACTCTATTCAATTATTTCACTACTCACAGTACTAGAAATGAAGTAGAGAACCTCTGGGATTTGGCTTTCTGCTTCTTCTAAGCATGATTGCAGAGAATCAGCCCCTGTAGTAGAACAACCAACTCTCCACCCTGCATGGTTTCCTCAAGGTTTTCACCTGTTATGTGGGAAACTTTGCTGTAATGGCTTTTAGCTGAATGTTCCGGGAAGGTAATGGAGACCCCATTTCCATGAAATATCAGCTAGGGTATGAGGACCGTAGGAAAAGATCCCTCTTCTCTAGAAATTATCTGTCAGATTGTGTTGAAAATTGACTTCTCTTTTTGCTCTAAGCTTTTCCAGTAGCAGGAAAGCATATTCAGCACTTAAAGTCTTGGAGGTACTTTGGGGTTTTCGTTTTTTTTGGTTTTGGTTTGTTTTTTAACTAGCAGGAGTACCACTAGTTTGTTAGTAGTGCATCAGACCCAATGTTTGATGCAAAAAGTCAGGAGACTTTATTTTGTAGGCAGAGAACATAACACTTCATTGGATTGTTAGCTTCAGCAATTACTAACTTCTACCATTCTTCTTTCTTCTAACAAATAGTGGTCCACATTGCTTATTCTCTAATCAGAATGGCATCCTGACTCAGAGCAGGCTTTCCAGTCTTGCTCTTCTGTGGGAAGTTGGGTTTTCTGAACTCTGGAATTGGTGCTTGAGAGGTTTCTTAGGAGACCATGGCTTCAGGAGACACCTGTGTGCTTGTTGTTAAACAGGGAACTTCTAGAGAAGGAATTGAGCAAGGCCTCCATGCCTTCAAAATTTGTACTTTACCATGCACTGCTCTTTCAGGACGTTGAGCACTTCCAAGACTTAGGAATACTATCTTTCCAGTCAAACCACCACTGAGGAAACACATGTGGTATGTTGCAGAGCTGAACTCCCAAGTTATACCTCTAAGGATGCAATAGACCAGGTGATTAAGTGGAAGCACTGCTAGACAATTCACTTCTTTCTTTTCCTGTGATGTCAATTTGGCAAGCAGAGAGGATTGCTTTTGGTTTTAATAATTGTAGAGAACAAGCAACTAACTTTTGGACTTCAAATTTAGAATTGGAGAGGAGGTTTTCTGTTTGGTTTGTTGATTGGCTAGGGTTGTTTTGTTTGGTTGGGTTTTTTTAATGGCTGACTTTTATAACCAGCTGAGCTACATACTGATAGAGGTCCACTTGACTCAGATAACAGCACCCTTGCTCTGTATACTTTATGTGAACTGCTTTGGTTTCTTGAACTGTGTTAGTCTGAAGTTTTTGCGTCTTTTTCCTTTAGAAATGCTTTTGGCTGTTTCCTTCAATGTCTAACAGTTGCATATTCTCAGGGATTTTACTTAACCATGGCAAAATAAGAGTAATCACAGCCTTACCCTAGGGGAGTAAGGCTGCTTTTTGTGAAATTAGTATAACTGAGCGTAGAACTCTGATACAGCATATGACACAGACAGTGTCTATCCCCAGTGCGCATCCTTGCTGAGACATGGTAAATCCCAAAGCAATCTGGTAGAAGTGCTATCTAGTACTGAATAATGGCAGTCAACATATTTGAGTAGAGGGCATACACACATCTTTGTAATATAGTGCCGTTGGCATTAGCTCAGAGCTCTCAAATAATTTCAGTTGAGTTCTGCTTAGCAATGGGAGGCTTTTATTTATTTTATTTATTTTGTTGTTGGTTTTTTTTAGATGAACTATGTTCCAGAGCCCCCTCTGCTATTTTAAGACACCGTACTCAGTTGTATATGGAAATTCTGTGACATTACAATTGTAGAATATGAACTGGATACTCAAGTGGTTTAGTGTAAACTTAAGGAGTCATTGAAACATCCCACCTTGACAGTGGATCTCCTATTGGGTCTCCTATTAACAGATGCACTTAAAGTTAAGGGCCATATACCTTCACTTACAAGCTTTTTGTAAAGCATCATCAGGATTTAGGTTACAGATGTTTGCTTTAAAAATGTTTCATAGTTTGAAAAGTGTCACTTGGTTGACTGGACGTATAAAAAGTATGCCCAAAGTGTCCTCCAGCTGTTCACAGCGTGCTTTGGCAAAGGGGTGTCGAACATTATAGAGAGTAATGTTATGTGTTCTGTATGCTGGACCTTCCAACCCTTTCTTTTCATTATCACTTCAACTTTTGTGAAAAAATTTAGGGAACCTTAAACTGCCTTTTAGACACTAGAAAAGATCATTAGAGCATTCCTACCTGTCTGTCTTTCCTTCTTCCCCCACCTGGTCCCCACCCCTTCCTTTCCTTCCATTGTCATTTGCTTTGCTACCAGGGCTGTTGCTGTCAAGTCAAAGCATCTGTCCATAAGAGCACAAGGCAGGAAATTTGGTAAGTGATGCAAATGTAAACTTGGAAAATCAGACCTAAATTCTTTGGCAGGCAATCAAACATACAGTTAGACAGAGAATGTGCTGCTTTTCTCTGAAATTTCTCCCTGGTTTGACATATTTTGCCAGGAAAACCACACCACTTTGAACTTTTAATTGAGACACCCCAGACTTGGCAGCTCTACTTCTTATGAGTGAAAGCACAGGGATTGGATTTTTTTTTTAAATTATTTCTTTTCTCTTGCCTGCATAATACAGATAACAAAACAAAAAGAGAAGGGGAGTGGGAATAACTGAATTCATGCCGCTTTGGTACTTTCTGTAGCGCTTTGGTGAACTAACCCTGCAGACTACTGCATGCTCCAAGCAATCTAAAATCACCCTTGTGCAGAAGGGGTATCCTAAAGCACTTACTGGCTCTGAGCAAGCCCAGGCAGTAGCCGATCCTGCTCACAGTTCACACAAGGATTTTAAGCACTTGCTTTGAAGTTAGAACATAGGCATATGCTTCTCTTAAACACACGTGCACCCTCCCACTGGCATGCAGTTCTTCTAAACGTGGTCTTTGACTATCATTTCTAATATCCCTTTCTTGGTATAGGATTTCTCCCCGCAGATACTCCATATGTGCTAGATGTGGATATTTTTTTTTATATATATATGAAATTTCCTTGTTTTCATATCCTAATTTCAGTTTGATAACTTTATTTTGCATTGCATCATTCAGGGGGTCCAAAACTGATTGATTAATTTATTTAAAGCCATCTTGAAAGTTTGAGATTTATGTCTACTTGAAACTAAACAAGTAAATTGCATTCCAGAATACAGTGGCTAAACTGAAAACCAAAGCAGCTTGCTTTTGTGGTTTCCTTTTGTATTTTCTTTTTCCAAGCCAATTTTGGGCATACATTTTATCAATGTCAGGCTGAGCGTACTGCAAGCCTTACTTATACATACTAAAATACATTACATACATACTGAATACATTTAAAGATGAAGAGAAGGTATATTGCCTCACACTTTTAAATTTACTTAATTCTAAGGGCTTGTTCATGCCCCCAAAATAACCTCTTCCATTGTAAGTGTTGCACGAATTGTGCTGTCATAAGCAGTTCAGTCTGAAATACTTTTGAAGTTTCCAGTCTGTGTTGTCTCTCAAATCATACAGCATCTGTCTCTTCTTTTGGAGCATTGTTAAGACCTTTGTCAGACTTTTATATTATTTCATTATAATAAACTTATTTTAAATAAGCATGTTTTAAAATCTCGCTTTCTCCTTGCATGGATTTTGTTTCTTTTATTACAATAGGGGGGCTAAAGTGCTCTTCAGGACTGTATCTGTTCTAGGTACTGTGTGAACAGTCAAAAGCAGTATGTTTCTGGTTGACAGAAACTACGTGTATGTATCTTTGTACAAAGAATGTTAATACACATGGAGCCTGTTTTGATTACAAGAATAAAAGCTGTGTCTGGCATGTGGTTGTGGCTCCTTGGCCAGTGTAAATATGTGAAGGCTGTAGTTAGAAAAGCTGGCTGGGCAGGGTGAGAGGAATTTGTGTTTTTAAATTCAATGTGTTATTTGTCCTTCTTTTGCCTGGACTTGAACCTCTTCTGTAGACATTTCACAGACTTCATCTTGAGGTGCAGATGAAGACAAGGGCTCCTTAATTAATGTGGATGTAACATCCTCCCTTTTTTCGCCCCTTTTCTGTCTGTTTCTCTGTATAAACACCACGTGGTCCTGAGAGCAGATCTGTGATACCCAACTGTCTCTCTCTAGCAAGGGCAAGTCCCTCTGTTAAATGTCAACATCCAGGCAGAGATCTGAGAAGCGATGGAGGCATTTTCTCAGCTGGAGAAGAGCAGATGAAACTGAGCCCCTGCCTGTGCCTAACCAGCCTGGGGGTGGGGGGGTGTGTGCCTGTATCTTGTTGCAGCAACAGCAGCGCTGCTCAGCTAGAGACTCAGAGGAGACCCTGAACCCCTTTTAATTGCTGTAGTCCTCAGAGCATCAGCTCTGCAAAGGCCAAGAGCGGCATTTGCTTCAGCAAGGGCTGAGCTCCAGCAGGAGCCCCAAACTCAGCATCCCTCTGTCTCACCTGCTGCGGCTGAGCTGGTGGATAGCTGGCACCTCGGTGATGGCAGAATAGCTTAGAAGGCCTTCCAGGGCAGAGATCACATCCCTCTTTCACCACTCCAGGGTTTCATTCCTACTCTCTTCTTCCTAAGGAAAGGAGCAGGTTAGCAGTCAGGAGACCCTGGCTGTTCAAGCTAAATATCGACAGTTGTGTCACTAGCGCCACTGGCTCGAGCTGTCATTGCAGCCATGGCACGGATTGCTTTGGTGGCTCTCCTGAAGTGTCAGCTGTGCCACAACAACCTGCTGAGCCCACTTCACCGTATCACCTGGCAGCTCCTCTGAAGCCATGCTGTTGCATGTCACAGTTAGATGGGGCTGCTGCTGGGGCAGATCTCTGTCCTACACAGAGTCAGTCAGCACTTCTGGTGTGGGTATCTATACTGTGTTGCACTATACTAGACAACTGTAGTTCTTTGCACCAAAACAAAGAGCATGTGCACAGAGGCAGACGCTGAAAGTGGTACAGATTCTATGCAAACTGCACTCACATGCAGCGTTATAATGAACTGTTTCCTTTTCTCAGGTGCTGTTCTAGCAGAAAGATGAGGTTTTAGCTTCCCATCCAGGCATGCAATAACAAATTGTACAAATGTCCATTTTCACCAGAGAAGTAGCGACTTGCAACTTGCTGCAGCCATGCGGACAACTCCTTTCCATTGGCATTTTTGGACTGGAGGAGGAGGGGTATGATGGGGTCCATCCTGCATCACAGTGTCCCCAGACTTGCTCTGTAACTGTCAGTACTTTGGCAAAACCCACAAGCTAATGCCTCAAATCCCAACTTCTAACCGTGATTTGCCAACCAGTGCTGCAGTGTCTTACTTTACAGCTGAAACATGTCCACAAGCAAAGGAGAGCAGAACATGGTGGCTGGGGCAAGGGTGTGCAGGGGGACTGTCTGCTAGCATGAGTTGTTAGTCACCACTGTAAAATGCTCTGCTCTCCTAAATAGCTGAACACAGACCAGCAACACTTCACAGACATGTTCTAACAGAAATCCCACGCACAAAAAGATACCTCCCAGGCAAGTCTCTTCACTACCGCTTCCACTGGTTAAAAAAAAGCAAATCTGTTGCCATTACAGGATCCTAAATCAACTACAGAAGGAGTCTCAGCTAAAGCTTTGACAGAGTTTGTGATAGTTGTTAGTAAAGGTCATGGGCTGTGATAGTGGCTGCTAAATTCCTGTCCCCACAGGAATCTAGATCCATGGTTCAAAATAAAAAATGGTGTGCTGAACGTGTAGGGTTCATAGGAACACACAGGTGCTGCTGTTAAAATGGGAAACTCAAAGAGGACATCTTAAAGATCTAGCAATGACCAAAATATCCATAAATATTTTTTCTAGGCTTCTCCTATATGGAAGAAGACTATGGTTTCTGAATTTAAGGGGGAAAGGCAATGCAAGCTCACAAAAGCTTTGATCAATGCAACCAGGCAGAGTGAAAGCTTTACTGGTTTGGTTTCTTTTTAGCCCAGCTGGAAACCCTGCTACACTGGGGCTGGTGTGGGGCTGGTGTGCAGTTTTGCTACCCTATAGGAAATATAAAGCTCGTGAAATTCAGAATATGAGAATATAATTCAGTGCTATGGCCTGGACAGAGCACACCTTTTTGAACACCGGTTCAAAACACTTTGCAATGTTTATGCAAAGCTGTTCCCTGAATTGGAGCCACGAAGAGAAAAGTTGTCTTTCTTTTTCTTTTGGGGACTGGTAGAGTAAGTGTTAAGCACAAGTTCTAGGACTGAGAAAAGGAGGTGCAGGAGACACTGCAGTATGCCAGACACTTCCAGACATCAGTACAACCAAGCTAAGTGTCTGCCTGTCCATCTGGAAGATTTAATCCAAAATGTTACATGTATTTTTTTCCTAATATTTCAATACATCGAGATAAATATGTTTCTTAATTAACAGATATTTATTCCTCTCCTTCTGTGTCTGATACAGATTTTAGATTTGTTTCTTGTGTGTTATTAAAAAATAATTCCAGCTTTCCTTCCCTGCTCCATGAAGGTATGGTTCCCAGAGAAGCTGCAGTGATGGCAGTGCAGGTTCAACCCCTGAGATTGGGGATTAGGGAAAAAGGATTTTCCAAGTTTTGTTATGTATTTGCAGTCCCCTAACCTTCACCTTTTAGCAGCCTGTATTACTTTTCTGGTGATATGGTTTGCAAGATCTCATAAAACTTCTCCAGGATCTTCGTTTATCCACCACTTTAGCAAGGCATCGCCTTTGGTGTGGGAGTTTCTACTGCAGCAGGAGGAGCTGAAATTGGTGATACTCATGTCCTTCTAGAGCTGTCAGTCTAGGAGTCACTGAGATGCTGCTTCCCTATCAGGGCCCCCAGTGGGTCCTGGTGCCAACCAGCAGCATTTGGCCGCTTTCTAAGTTTGCTTTCAGCAAGATGCACTGGTGTGTGACCTATGCAAAGTCCTGCAGCGATGCCAAAGAGAGGACAGGTCACTATTTTCTCAAAATCAAACAGATCTGAGACTTCAGAATGCATTTTGCATCAATTTGTCTTCGTACCAGGGCTCCTGCTCCAGCTATGGCTTTCTGCCAAAATAATTTCCAATCAATTTAGCATCTGTTTCTAGTGTTGATATTGCCAGCTCATCTGTAGTCTTCAGAGACCAGACATGCCTCACATAGTTTCCTATAGGTCATAGTTTTCCACTTGCTTTCTTGCTTAGCAGCTGGTACCCAACCTCCTTCCTGCAAGCAGGAGGAAGCTGTGTGCTCTGAAGCCTGCGCAGCCTCTGCTGTGTTGCCACCGCTCGCCCACCCTGCTTTCTCCCTGACGTGACATTTGAGCCATGGTCCCAGGTATTCCACACTTGCTGAGCCCAACGCTTTACATCCCATGCATCAAGTGGCAAGCAGCTTTCCCCAAACCAACAAACCAAGAAGTTTTGTCCCATGGACAGGACACGCCTGTGTGTGCAGTGGGGTGCTGCAGATGTCTCTGTGAAACCTGTGCCTCTCTGAGCGCTGTGGCGGCTGGGAGAGCCTTCTTGCCAAAAACATGGTGGGACACCCTCATCAAGAGCAAGAGGCATGATCTCCCACACAGACCTTCATTGTGCTGCCCCTGGCCCTTGTATTGAGGCAGTACCAGTCCTGCCTCAGCAGATGCACTGACCAGGCACAGGGACCTTCTTGCAGGCATTTGTCTGTCAGGAGTCATCCCCTTGTCAGGGGCACGCTGAACATCCCAGCTGTGCATTGCATCCTGCCAGCACATTTCACAATTTTTGTTTTCTTCAGCTTACTAAATTCCCCTTCCCCCTCAGTCTTTTAAGGATTCGTATGCTTTCACCATTAATGCACAGCACACTGTTAGCGTATAAATAGTTGCTGCTACTTTTACTTGCCTCACACTTCATCAGTCACCTTGAGCAGGCTGCTCTTGATGGAGACTCAAACCAGCCCCTGGGTAGAAGCTGGGGAAAACCCCAGGCTATTTCAAAGAACTTGGACATGCTTTTTGTCAGCCAGCCCACAAGTTTCTTCATGTGGCCCTTTTCTTTACTTGTGTGGAAAGCTCATACATTGAGGCTACGCTCTTTCTGAAATAGACTCTTCTGTTGAAGCTCTTCTGCTTTCAATAAAATAATTATTAATTTACATTTTCTTAAGCCTGTGTCATTGGACAATCAAGTAATTTTCTATATTCTCTAAACAGCCTGTGAGTATATAGCTGGTCTCAGCACAGGGAAAGGATTCATCTGTCCACATTTGTATTTTTTTGTCCACAGACCATCTCAAAAGGAGCTAGAAGAGTTTACTAGAAGAGTAAAACTTTTTGATACAGACACTTAGAAACACATGCAAGCAGAATATTCCTGCAAGCATGTAGCTTCAGAAAAACCTGCTTGTTATTATCCTTTTTATTAAAAGAGAAAGAAGCAAGGAAATAATCAGCCCTCAGCTGAGGGAGCAGAACTGGGTCTGCATGACTGACACCACAAACCCCAAGCCACTGACATAGTTATTGCGAAAACATGTCTGCAAATAAAAAAATCCTCAAAATATGCTTTGTAATCAACAACAAAATGGGTGGTCCATAACCAGAAATAGAACAAATCATGGTGATTTCTATAGGGAAATAATGCAACACTCACTGCTGGGACCACTGCCACTGTGTCCTTCCAGAGACACGCACAGCACAGACCTGCCTTGAAAGACTTTTCTTGTGGGCTACATGGTTTGGTGAAACCAAGAGAAGGTCTGGAAAACTGCCCTGGTTTATATCCCTAAATAAATGTCAGACAGATCTGATCATCTCTGTAAATCAGAGCTGTCAAGTATGTGCCCCTCAGCCTCAGTGACAA